ATTAAAAATGCCTGTTTTTTTTAAGTATATAATATTTATATACGGCATATAGAACAAATAAACCCACACAATCTCCTCACCTTTGGTGAGGTTTGAACCCTTGACCTCCTAGAAGGCCAATGACTCACATACCACTAGGCCAAAGGCCCTTTGGTTAAAAATGTTTGTTACCGGTCAATTGCGACAAAACCATTGATGCAAAGATGTTGATTTGGTTTAAATTGTTTATTTTATTGTGTTCTTAATAAAAATCAGGGGTGGCTGTTGTTAGTTGATCGCAACTTATTGTTGCTATTTTCGGTGACAACAAGGTTGCTGATAAAAGGCCTTTGGCCTAGCGGTATCGTAACCATTGGTCTTCTAGGAGGTCAGGGGTTCAAACCTCATCATAGATGAGGAGGGTGCGTGTGTTTATTTATTGCATTTGACGTATATAAATATTATATACTTAAAAAAAAATGATTGCTGACAAAGACAGGGTTGTTGCATGTATTTTTCTACTACTAGTTATCTATTGACTAGGTTTGGGACTAATTTATCGATGGGGTTGATGTGTTGAGTCTACTCCAATTCCAACTTATGTTTTGACATGTTTATGAACAAAGAAACGTGGTAGTGACCTGAACTCCATCCACTCCCACCTCTTTCGTTCCTAGTACTTCATATGTTTATATTAAGACACGAGATTTAGGGTTTCTTTTATGTTTTTAGACTTCGCTTTTTTGATTTAGGAATTTAGGGATTTGTACAAATTTATTGTTTATATTCATGTTTTTTCTTTATGTTTTTTTGGGATGTTATGTTTTGTGTTTGTGATTGTATTTTGTTTCTTAGGAAATTGAATAATTGATTTGTGATCGTTGTATTGTTTCTTTAAAGGTGTGCTATTGATGTCATTATGGCAGGCTAGTTCCCGACGCCATATGAACCTTGTGGCTATCATTGTTCGATATGTGTGTTTTAAGACGGTTTTTTTTACTGTTTTTTCAACTAACCGTTGTGGTATTTTACTTTTTATTTTTAATATATAACTTATTTCTAAATGGTTAAAATTAGAGGTATTAATAGTTGAAAATATATGAATGTGCATGTACGTATATATTATATAAATTATATAAATATTTGTTATCATAACCTAGACATTAAAAAATGTCATGTCATGTCATGTCTTGTCATGATTTTTAAGACGTAAAACTTACTTTATTGTTACGTCCTCCTTATACTGTTTAAAACCGTGGGTAAAATTAATATCATTTACCATTTTATAAAACTTATTAAGGGGTCATTTACCTAGCTAAATGCTTACCCGGTAAACGTTTACCGTTAGGAGTTAATATTATAATTTATTTTTACCGAGTAAGATTGTGTACATCAAAAGGGTATCGTATGCAATAATTTACCTGGTAAGCACTAACCCGGGTAAAAATCGTCATCCTCACTTACCGAATAAGATTCTCTATCTTTATCATTGTTCTTACCGGGTAAGATTTTTGACTATTGCATGTTCATCCGGTAAGAAAAATTACCTGGTAAGCACTTACTGAATAAATGTTTAGTAGACAACACCTAAGATAATAAATGATATCAAAATAAGACTTCATCAAATAAATAAAACTAAAATTTGTTCTCTTATTATATAATATAATATACTTTAGAAAATGATTCAATGTATATGGTGTTGAGAGGATTATTATAATGATTAAATATACAACAAATTATATTTAATTATAAAGCATGATGTTGTATTTGGTGGCATATGGACATCGAATGTATTTTTAGTTGGACATCCATCTCTTTGCTTCCCTTACTTTCTTTCCTCTTTTTAATTTTGGTCTTAGTTGTATTTTGTTAGACTTAATTACTTTTCTTGTCCCTTGGTTTCTTCGAATTTACGAAAAAATCCTAACCCTAAAAATTCATGACAGAGGCTTTTGAGGTTTCATTTCCGTTATGAATCAGATCTATTGTCTTAACTTGGTTAAAAGAATCCGTTAAGTTGGAAGGTATTTTAATTATTTTATGTATTTCCTTAATGTTTTAAAATTGTACAACCTCGGATGCATTTTGTACCGGTATTTAAAATATTTGATAATAAAAATAAAACAAAGAACACATCCCATATCGGACCCTTTTTCCTCTCCGGCATTTTCACTGACCACTTTCCCATCTTCGATCACCATATATACACATATCATAATACGCCCATACATACCAGATCCAAGACCTAATCACCAAAATTCAACTCAAATTCAAACCTTAATCAACAAAACTCAACCTAAATCCGGTTCCCTATGTGTGCAACATTTAGGCACAACCATGCTTAAATCCAGAAACGGAAGAAATGAAGTTGATGGGTGCTTGCAAATCGCTGTAACCCTGTGAGTGTTATATTTGTGGCTTCAGCTTGTTGAAATCGTGACTGGATCATTGATAAATGAGGAGGTCGGGCATCAGTAGTGTTTGTAGATGGTGTTTGGTGTTATAGGTGGTGTAGCAAATGGTTGGATCAGGGAGTCGTTGCTAACACTAAAAAACAAAAAGCCTTCACCGACAGAAAAATCCGTCGGTAATTTGCCCGAAAAAAGCCATCATCAGCGAATTACAGGCAGATCTCATCGCCAGAGAAAGTGTAGTCGATGATTGTGATTACTGACGGATTTCCAATTACTATCGGAAGAATCCTTCGGTTACTTTCAATCCACTAGTGATCCGCCACAATTCCGTATTACTGGTGAAAATATCCGTCAGTGAAGCCTATTTGTTTTGTAGTGTAATGGTATTTAGAGACGCAGAAGACACCAGTGTATGCAAACGTAGAAGACGACGATGGCGGTGTTTGGGGATGGAGAGGGGGAGGGGTGGGCCACATAGAGTTGACATCGGGGACAGTGGCTGTTTTTAGGTGAACGGAAAGAGGTTTTCTTCATGTATGTATAATATTAATGGGTTTTTAGAAGCAAGAGAAAAAAAAAGACTAAATGCCCCTGACATAAGAGTTTTTAGCGAAAGTTAGGGTAAGGAGCCAAACGTGTAGCAAAAATGAAACTTTGAGCAGAGATGGCAACAGGTTGGGGGTACCAGGGACCCAATCTCCATTATCACCTCAATTTCCAATCACCATTCGATCGGGACTAAGAGTAACGTCAAACAAATCTAGTTCAAATGCAATTTAATTTTTACAAAGATCTACTATTGAATCGGTGATTTTTCTCCGTCTACTCAATTTAATTTTTAGTAATGTTTCTATATATTATATATAAGCATTCCAATTTTACATTTAAACTACAAATCATGTTAACAAATTTGATAAAAGCAATACTAAACAAACCTAGTTCAAACATAAATACATCAATTCCAGTACTTAATAAATGAAAATTTACACAACCATGCTATATTACCAAAAGTTTCTTAAGAAACAATCAAACTAATGATTAAATTTGTTTTACAAATTTCCATCATTGAAAATTGATAATATATTATATATATATATATATATATATATATAGGCCTAATCAAATGAGAACTAATTAGTTTGTGGTAATTGTGAGAACCAATATTAACCACAAATCAATAGATAAATTAGGAAATTTATAATTTTGGCAATTTTGAATTAAAATTTTAATGCAAGGATATTATTTTGGTATTTTAAAACTTTCCTCCCTCCTCTCTTCTCTCTCCGGCCAACGTCCTCTGACCACCGTCCTCCGGTGATACTACAATGGTATCACAATGCATCATATATGTGTTTGGGTATCACATTGATGTCATTTGTGTGGTCGATCGAAGATGTAACACAGTGGTATCACTATGCATCTTATATATGATTAGGTATCACAGTGTATCTTTTGTTTAACAGAGTCAATATTTTTAGGTATCACAGTGGTATCATAGTGGTATCACCGGAGGACGGTGGCCGGAGAATGGTGGCCGGAGGACGGTGGCCGGAGAGAGAAGAGAGGAGAKAAGAGAGTTTTAAAATACCAAAAATATCCTTGTATTAAGATTTTAATTTAAAATTACCAAATTTATAAATTTTTTAATTTATCTATTGATTTGTGGTTAATATTGGTTCTCACAGTTACCACAAACAACTCAGTTCTCCCTTAAATAGGCCCATATATATATATATATATACATATATATATATATGCAATGGGTTTTCTAATTTTATTATTATGCATAAATATACACATACAAATTGATTAGTAACACTCGGGGCAAGGCTGAAATCAGGAACAAGAAGGATCCCCATCGTAGTTTATAAATTCGGGGACTCCCCGTTCCCAGTGAAACAAGGTTTAGGTATAGAGTTCTTCGTCATATACTTTTGGTTTTTTTTTGTGAACATACTTAACTCTGAGGACCATTATTATGATTTTTTAAAGTTTAGGGATCTAATTCGTAAACTCCATGAATCCATATAGAGAAGAAAAATGTAATTAGCTCTATTTTATATCTCTTTAAAAAAATAATAAAAGGAAGTGGCGTGTAAAATGACACAATATGAGGTCAAAGACAACATGTAATAATTTTGGTCGTGATTGCATGATTATAAGTCTATGATCTTGTCAAAAGACATGAATAATATTTGTTTTCATATAAAATATTTCTTTTATTGTCGATTAATCATCCTTTCACAATAAAAATAGGCCATGTAAGCAATCAAAAAACCCTAAATCCTTCCAACTTTAAAACCTAGATTTCAAATAATTCAAATCCCTTGACGAGAAATGATTAAATTAACAAGGACCAAGTAAATATCACTCCATGTCTTATGTGTGTAATAGTGTTTGGAAATTAAAATTAAAAGTAAAAATAAAAAGAAGTGGTTTCGGTTGTAAGCAACAAATTATTAGGAAAAAAAATTTATATTTAATTTGCTTATATTATATTCTTTAACTATTTCTTAATTATCTACGCCTCTCTTTTCTTGAACCAGTCACGAGTCCACGCCTGCCATAAAACCTTCCATTCTCTCGTCTTCATCACAGAAACAATCCATGGTCGGGTGGATACACATCTCACTGGTGGTGGCATCCGCCGGAATATTCCTCCTCCTCTTTCTCTTCTTCCACTGCTTCTGCCACACAAAACAACCGGAGCCCGTCGCCGGACCTCCGTCTATACAAAACGGGATTTCTAAGCTTCACCATCAAGATAATGCATTCAACAACAAAAGACGAACGAATTACTATGTTTCCCGACGTGGGTTATCCTCGAAACCTTTGTTCAATTGGTCCGACAACCCTTCACTCATCGCCGACGCCGTGGAAAACGGTTGGTCACAATTCGCCTTCACCGACTACGCATCCTCCTTGTCTGTCCGATCAAACCGGTTTCTACTGGGTTCCTGCGCTTCCTCAGGCGATGGCAGTGGTGGCGACGCTGAGGAGGTGGAAATCAGTTGGGAAGTCTGCCAGGGATCCGCTGATTTCATGCAAAAGATTCATCTTAATTCCGGATTAAAGAAAATGGCTTCGAGTACAAGCTCGTCAATGGCTGCCGGTTCTGTCATCAAATCGGCCTTGCCATTACCAGGTCCGGCGTTGGGGAATTCATCGCCGTTCCCACAAGAAGCCTACTTTGAAATTACGATATTGTCCATCTGTGAGAACGAAAATGGAATCGATTCCGATGGAAAGGCAAGGTTAAATACGGGAGAAGGAGAGAATATCAAGTTAATTCAAGAGCATGGTGAAATGCATGCTAATTGTGAAGAGTCAAATGATCGAACAAGTGTTAGTAAAGATACAGTTGAAGGGAAAAATGAAGTGTTTATTATGTTGTCGGTGGGTCTTACCGGCGGAGGTTCGTTGCCGGTGAAACTTCCGGGAAGTTATCCGGGATCCGTTGGCTTTAATTCCGATGGCTCTATTTACTTGGATGGTACGCATGCTCTATTTCTTTGCCTTTTGATATCATTCTAGACTCAAATTCCATTATGATATAATCCTTAAAAAGTCAAAATAAAACCACAAAAAATGGTTTCTAATTGGTTTGAGTTTGACTCCAAAGGTCAAAAGTACTAGGAGGTCTCAGGTTTAAATGCGATGACTCCGAACTATCTACAAAGCAAGTGGTCGTCCTAAAATTAGTCGCTCGCATAACGGACTAGATATCGAGGTTAATAAAAAAAAAGTCAAATTAGCTTCTAATCAAAACGGGAAACAGTTACAAAAGGCAAAATAGTTTTTGATTTTTCATATTCAAACACTTTACTTAGTAATTAAATTATTTAATAGTTTTAAATATCGCAATATCTATACTATATATTATAAAAAATTTAAAAAAAACTCTTAAATATCATTTTTTTTATGAATAAAGTATTGTTTATTGATACATATTACTTACAACTGAAGATTACAAGTAAATTGTGTATAACTAAAATTTATTAAAACTTCATTTATGAATTTGTCTAACTAACTATAGATAAACATAATCAAATACGAGATAGACATATCATTTTGAATATAAAAAATCTAAAATATAATTAGTATAATCATTGATTATAACAAAATATTTAATTATTATCTTAATAAAAATTATTAGACGATATAAATTATTTCGTTATTAAATCTAAACTAAATTATAAATAAAATATTGAATTAAAGAAATTACACAAAAAATAAAATTGTAAATAGTAAATTTTGATAGTAATATCGATATATATTTTTTTCAAATCTTAATAATATATTTAAATTTATATTTTATTTAAAAATAAAAACATTATCATTTTTTCAAAACCACACAAAAAAGCACTTTTCTAATAAAATAAAAAAAATATAACAATTAAAAGTATTTATAAAATTACATCTTACCCATTACATTTCATTATAAAAATGATATATTTTATTTCTATTTTTTTTCTTTCCTTTATCTTCACTCTCATAACCACCCAAATAAAAGATTTTTTTCCCTTTTCTTTTCCTTTCCTTTCTTCTTTCTTCTCCACACCGAGAACAAGGCGTTAGAGAATCATTTAAGATTTTTAATACAGTTTAGAAAATCCGATGTAGATGGTTCGATTATCATCATTTTCGTATAAAAAGTAATTCAATATCAAACAAAACATTATAATTATATTTATTCATACATGAAATATGTTAAAAATAGTGTAATTAAATAATGTTACATCAAGTTTTGTTTTAGCATCAAAATAACGTACATAAAATATGGTTGTGTTTATGGAAGAAGAATTGCGTGACAAATCAATTTTTGATGTAAATAATACTTTGTTTATTGGTAAAACGTCTTTATCTTATGTTGTATTCTTGAATTTGTGAAAAAAAATTAAATGAAAAAGATAAAGAATAAAGAAAATTATTTTATTTATGTTAGTGACAGGGGAATGGAAGGGATAGAAAGTAAAGGGTTGGGTTAAATCAACCTAACTTTTTCTTTCATTTCCCTCTGCTTGAGAATATAATATTCTTTTCTTTAAAAAAATACACTCAATAACACAATATATTTTCTTTCAAATTACAAATTCAAGAATTTTGGTGAGTTTATGTGTTTGTATAGGGTGGTACGTCATAACCTTTTTTTCAAATGGATCCCAAGAAATATCATTTTAATGAACTTTTTATCTGACATCAAATGAATAAAGCTAGTCGAAGGATATTGGTATTTAAAAAAAAAATCATTTTCTTAACAAAATAATGAAACAATTAACAAATACATAATAATTAGGCATCAACTAATAGATCTTAATACCAGGAGGTCACATGTTCAAATCGAAGAAAGAATAAAATTCTCTTGTGGTCACGGAGGTTCAAATGCGATGACTCTAGACTATCTGCAAAACAGGTGGTTGTCCTGGAATTAATCCATTTCGCATGACGGATTGGATATCCAGGTTAATAAGAAATAAAAAAAATTAACAATTAACAAAAAAAGTAAATATTAGTCTTCAACTAATTATAAAATCTAACCATAATTAAGTTAACAATTCAGTATCAACTAACAATTAAAAGTTATACATCAACTAATAACTAATACAATATATATATATATATATATATATAAAATTAATTGATAACTTTTTTTGGTTGATATCATACATAAGTTTAAGATATAAGCTTTGTCTATTATGTATTTTAAATACGTACCAATCATCACAATAAACCAACTTAATTTTAAATTACATAAAATTACAAATGCTATTTTGAAAGAATATTCAGATGAAGACAAATAATATTATTAATTCGTTTGGAAGCATAATATAACACAAAGCAAGTATGGAAGGTCCACCACATGCACCTTACTTATTATTATTATTATGCCTACTTTGTATTTTATTTATACGTATTTAAAATTACCAAAATTTAAATTAAATAATCCTCTAATTATTTTGTATGTTATATAATCAAAGGCATTATTGGATTATGGTCCTTTCTTATCTTCACTTTTTTATATTTGTTTTTATAGTTTTTCGTTATAATTAAAAAAAAACGTTTCTCTCTATTATTTCATCAAACTACTTTATGTTTTTCAATACTTTTGTCTGATGGTGTAATTGGAGATGATTTTTGCAGGAGTTAAACTGATAACTGAATTAGAAATTGAAAGATGGGAAAGAAACGAGAAGGTGATTGGCTGCGGCTACAATCCAAGCCAGAAGAAAGTTTTTTTCACGATAGATTCGAAACTCGTACAAGAAATCCACTGTAAGACCGAGGAATATGGAACTCCGCTCTATCCAACGTTGGCAGCGAACAGTGACATTATGGTACTTGTAAACTTCGGGCAAAGCATCTTCAAATATGCACCAGCAAATTCGCAAAGAACTCAAAATCCCTGTTTCGTTGGACCGATGGCAAATTCTTCATCGTCAGGGTACGAAGATAGCAAAGAATTTTTCTCAATGGGTAGAATAGATTCACAGTGGTTAAATCGACCAACAACAAGAAGTGGACAATATAACCTTAATGTTAATAAAGGGAAGACAAAGGACTACGATGAGGCTTCTGAAGGGGATTTGTTTGAAATTGTGTTGGATAGTAATAGTTACAGAAAGTCACCAGGCACACCTTTTTAGCCAACAATATATGATTTTTGTTCTTTATGGAAGTTGACATGTTGTTGGCCAAGTATATAAGCCTTCTAGCTACATGAACAAATGTGATATGTATTCTTTTAGATGAGGATTGAAGATTTTTTTTAACTACTAGAACTTAGATACGAATCGAAATTGGCCAACCAATGGCGATATTTCCTTGTTTTCAGCGTGTTCGTTGTAAACTTTTGCTCCATAACACGTGAAGTTCATGAGAGGAATCTCAATTATACCTTGATTACTTGACTAGCAGGAATAAGATGTAACATATTCGGATTAAAAACATGGTGTTCAATATATACATGTGGTCAGTTACGCCCTAAACCAACGGTGTCTTGACAAAAGATCGATACTTTGACACATACTTCTTTCAAAATATGTTGTGGCGGACATTTAAACATACACCAAATAAACTCTTAAATAGAGATACAAAATACTAATTGACTAACCCAACAACAATAAAACTTAAATGCTAACATAAAAAGTCCTCAAGCCAGACTTTTGCCCTTTTCGACCTTGAACTTTCCTGATATTGAGATACACGCTAAAGTTAGCTTTACACTAAGAAAGTTCATGGTTTTCGCAACATCATCCATAAATAAATAAATCGAAAATAAATCATTCACGTATAAAACTTTCATGAAACGTCACACTTTAGACCATATCTTTCGAATATCAAAATGCATCTTTTCATCACATTTTAGAAATATCATGCATCCACTTGGCATGGTGGGGATCCTCCAGCTCTAACCTCTCTTTTTCTTTTCTATTGCAATTTCTGGATTGTTATATGATGATTTTGTAACTTTCCATTTATAGAAAAGAAATAAAAAGATATAGAATAGAAATGACACATGTTATGTCAATGACACCGAAATGATATTAAATGAATGGAATTGGGATATCTAGTCAAGTTCAGAGGTGCACTGAAGTACATGTCTTGATTACCGTCTCATATTCCAGTCTCATAGATATATCTTCCCACACATTATTGACTATCATCATCATATGAGGTTTCCCACCGTCCAATACTTGCATCCCTGTAATGAGCCCACAAGTATAGCCAAGTCACATTACATTCCGATTAAATCATTTGAAACATATATCATACATAAGCATGCATTTCTTCCAATTATAAAAAATAATAACATATGCTCTAAAAACATTTCACATCGTTAAACATCCAACATCATTAAACATGCAAATGTGTTTGTGTGTGTATATATATATATATATATATATATATATATGAAAACGTAGCATGCATATCGTTCATTACAAAATGTAGCATGTTCATGTAATAATCATTTCACGTATTATCCGTCATTCTAGCATGCTTTGCAAATTTAAGTAAAAGATAGCATGCTCTACATATATACCTGTGTATATCCCATTTAAAAGTCACATGAAACTCATCTCGATTAAAGTTTTGTAGCTCCCAATCTTACACGAAATCATTTCTCTAAGCGCACATGTTTAATAAACAATCGCTAAATTATCAAACTCTCGAACGAAGTTCCTAAAACTCATTATTTTCAAAATGGGTCAAATGACTAGACCTCCTCATTCCTCATCCCCATTTTACCATCACATGCAAAATATACACACATACATACATATACATATATATTAATTATAGTATAACCTGTAACTCTTAAACCCATTAATTAGGGTTTTTATTACAGCAAAATCCAACCCCCCTCCTATATATACACACACACACACACACACATATATATATATATATATATGCTTAATTATTTGATAACTCCAAAACATGTAAGATACATCAAATCTATCATAAACCACTAATTTAAGATAATTAATTTTATTAATTAAGGAGATGATTATCTTTATTTGTTAAATTAAAATTAATGCATTTTTTAGAAAATTTCATATTTATCTCTCTCTATGTACTAAGCTCTCTCATATCTCCGTACTAACATACACGTCGTGCACACAAGGTGAACATATTGTGAACACAATGTAAACAACCTGGTGTTCACAAGTAATATGTATAGATTTAGTTTGTGTTAACAATCTATATGGTGGGATTTCGTAGATTTTGAGTGTGTTCACAAAATACAATAATATTTATAAGAAAGTGTTCACATTGTGTTCACAAACTTTAATAATATTTATAAGAAAGTGTTAAAAATGTGTTCACAAACTATAATACTATTTATAAAAAAATGTTCACAATATCTTGACCTTGCGTTCTAAATATGTACATGTATCTTATTAAGAAAGAAGGAAGAAGAGAGAAAATAGGAAAGAGAAGAGATGAAAGATGAGAGAAAAATAGAGGGGGAAGAGAGGGAGAGGTCTTTAATTTATTTTAGATTTTCTTTTCAATTAATTTTTTTGTGCTTTAAATTGGATCTCATAGATCTTATAAATTAGCAAGTTCTTAAAAGAAGACACTTATATATATACATAACTTTTTTACGCTTGAAATTTCACAACAAAACACTGTGAAGTTAACTTTGTGAAGGTATATGAAGGTTCAATTTTTTTTATCTTTATAATGTTTTGCTGTGAAGTTTTAAATGTAAAAATGTGATCTCACGAGTTTTACAAAAACAGATTGGTCTTCCGTGAACCCAACCCTATATTACATGTATATAGCATCGAACCCATCAACAAATGCCTTTCAAGGATATGTATGTATATATATATATATATATATATATAGCATCGAACCCATCAACAAATGCCTTTCAAGGCTACTGGTAATAAAACCAACCATCCATGAATTCAAGTATAATGCAGCTTATATACATGCACATGCATATACAATCAAATTTCCCCCCTTTTGAACCAACAGTGGCTTCCTTGGTGTCACAAACTGAACTATATATTATCATTATAAAGCGGAAAGAAGATAATGAAAGACAAAATCAAGGATGTTCTTGGTGTAAAAGACAAAATTTCTAAAACATACAAATATGATGATTCACCTACTAAATATGCATCCAACACAAAGTAAAGAAATAGAGTTAAAAGACAATATCGAGATTTAAGTGGATACTTAAATCGGGAGGGTGGAGGAGACCACTAATAGAAATCTACTAATGAAAGATAAAGATTACAATGCTTTTGAAGGAGTAGAATCACAACTATAGTGAGTGTGTGTCTTTCGAGAGAGAAATGAAAAAGTGGGAGATATCTGAACATGCTCTACACCTCGAATTTATTCTATAAGCTCCATCTATTTTAAGAAAACACTCAAAAGGAATGGAGCGTAAACTTGATGAAGCCTATAATGGTGAAAGTTGTAGTTGGTAAAGATGAGTCTTCCAAGCAAAGATCATTAGATTTTTGTGGCCTAAGATGAATGATTTCAAAGGGGATACAATACCTTAAAATAAGAAAAAATTTCTACTGAAAAGTTTCTTCTTGAAAAGATGTGAACAGTGCTCGCACTCGCGAGTAGCTCCCAAAAACATGTTGCCTCCAAAAGCATGCATTATACGGCCGCAAAGGAGTAAGTTGTGCGCAAAAAACCGTAGGATATTGAGGCACTAGTTAACAATCTCCACCTTGACTCAATATCCACTTCCAAAGAATGTAACACAATCAAAATCTTCCAAGAACAAAGCTCCATAAAGCATACACCATTATCACTAGCAAACATATTGCTCCGAAAATTATCTATCAAAAAACTAGTCTCCTCCACCATTGCCCCTCACGGGCTACTTCAAACCATGAGCACCTACCAAGCTCAAAGATCAATCAAACTTTCGTCATCATATCCATCAGATTATCATGATTGCAAATTTTATTCACCTTGAAGTCTCCTTTACCGATGACTTCACACACAAAATAATAACGCACATAAATGTGCTTTGTGCGCGCATGGAACATTTGGTCTTTCTCTAAGAAGATAGCTTTTTGATTATCACAATAGACCGAGTCCATAACTAAATCATCACTAAGCTTACCAAATAAGCCTTTGACACATCGCTACTTTAAACGCTTCTTTAAATGCTTATGTGATAGCTATATACTCTGCTTCGTAGTAGATAAAGCAACCGTAGGTTGCAAAACAATCTTCCAACTAAGTGCACACGATCCAATAGTAAACACATAACCTATAAGAGAACGACGTCCATCCAAGTCTTTCCCATAGCTTGAGTCAACATACTCAACGACACAAAATGTACATGCTCAAGATCCCAGGTTGTGCGGTTACCAACAACCATCATCAACAAATATAACTCGCTTCTTAATAGAAATAGTGTTGATAGAGAGGATGTTCGACGTTTCACTTGTTGAGACCCTCAACTATGTTAAAAATGCACCTTCAAGCTCACATTTTGGACCATCCTGGTGGCCCAACCATGCAAGATCAACCTTATATGTGTCTGTGAACTTTTCGCTTCCCTCGGTTGTGCCCGTGGTGACCCTGTCACCATTCAGGTTCGAAAGGTGGCTTATTCGAGTTCCATAATCAATGCCACTCTTGCCTCACAGCTCTCAAGCAGTGTTCATTTTAATGCCTTATAGCCGATATTACTTCTAAGGAAGATCAGGATATTACGTCCACTCTTGTCCTCCCTAGGTTCGGTTGGACCATTGAACACCGTCGGAGCATTATCCACTCCAGTCACCTCAATATGGCAGCTAGTTTATGGTTTTAGTTCTTGCGACATAACTTAGTACCTATAGATCATGATTGCACCCTTTCTCAACATAAGTATTGCCTACTCTATTGAATTTTAAAAGACATGCATGTGAGTGTTGGTCTTATCATTCGTACTATGCTCACTGAGACAACTAACCATGTTGGCTCCCATCATATTTGTCCCACCTTGATAACATATTCGTTGAGATATTGTAAGGTTTCGTAAAATGATGATGACGAGATCAAATACAATTCTTCTAGCATCGACCAAGGTATAATTTATCAGATGAAACACTCGCTACATTTTTTAGGTCCCTAACAGTCCTCGGCTACCCAGTCACATGGGGTAAAGAGACTATCAAGATGATTGAATATTATATCTCATGTTGATGTACATGGGATTACATTGGTTTATATAATTAGCAGCTATACATGGTAAGGAGAAATAAATGGGATAACTACTGAAAATACAATAACCTTGATCACAAGAATATTCTAGAGGATCAAATCAAATATATCAAGTATAACCTTGAT